CCATTTTTTATTCATTGTATAAACTGCAGCATTACAGAGAAAGTGAAACCTCTTTGGCATCAAATCAGAGAAACAAAGCAGCTCAGCAGCGTTTGATATGCGATTGTTACAGGTTTACGCTTTCACTTTTAAACACATACAGCAATGTTCGTATTACATCTGATTGTTCCGTTGACCTTCGCACAGACAGTGACATGGTGCAGATTCAAACGGTACCATGGTACAACTGGAGACGGTGCCCATTCGAGTAGCGGTACTGAGGTCACACGCGGATCGCGTCGGTGAAATCTCAGCTGGCTTTGGATGACTGGAAACATGCCATTGCCATATGGTCATGTTTATCTTGAATGCGATCTTTGCTCAACCGCCCACTATAACGGAGTGGACAGAGTAAAGCTGCGTTCTCGCGTAGCAGTATGGAACAAGTAGAATCACTCTGACTAATATTTGTCAGGCGAGCGGATTTTACGCGCACGCAGAGCAACACAAGTTGTAGGACAATGAGCACCAATATAACTCGAGCTGTCAACGCGCTCGTTTAGCCAGCAGCGGTACAGGGTAACAGGGTCTGACTGTGTTTTCAGCCCTCTTACCTGCGATGACCTATGGTTCCTAACTTACTGTTAGGTCCGATTTCACTAAGGGGAGATCAAAATTCTTGATCCGGATCAAAATGGACCAATGAGAAGGCAACTTTTTAGTAATGGATCTAATTAATATAGTCGATTTTTTCTTAAACATCTCTCAAACTAGCCAAAAAATATACGATTTGTGGAGGGCTTCTAATCCCCATTTTAAATCGAGCAATTATACATAAAACATATTTTTTATTTAATCCGGACAGTAAAGCCTATGATCCGTATCAACAGTGACCAATTAGAAAGCGTTTTCGTAAAACCATCGAAAATTGACCAATTGGAGAGGAAGGAGCCTTTATTCCTTGTCCGAATCGTGGATCAAATCAAAAATTACTGAGCACTTCATTGAAAAGAACAGTGTTTTACTTACCTAAAAAATATCATTTTAGAAAAAAGGATATATTTTAAAAATGAATCAAGGTCTAATGTTGTAATTTCTAGATATAAGAACCACTGTGTGTGCGCGATATTTATGCAAAGTATTGGCAATCATATTTTTAATAAAATTAATTCAGTATGCAAATAATATAACCTATGGACGTTTCTTGGGGAAAAGAAACAGAGGACAATCATTATTATACTTGAAAGCACTGCCTTTCATCAGCTCAGCTGTCCAGTCACAGAACTGTCCAGTCACAGAACTGTCCAGTCACAGAACTGTCCAGTCACAGAACTGTCCAGTCACAGAACTGTCCAGTTCTACCACACCACATTATTCAACGAAAACTTGTGAGGCTGAAATCGCTATAGATCCATAGAATGAACGTTAGAATGGTCCTATTTCACCCCAGCGGTGGCCGCAGTAGTAGACTCTTCGGTCTCCTGATCAGTCGCCGTGCGCTGTGCGGGTTCGAATCCCGTCCCAGGAGAAATTTTTCTCTTGGCTATGGATGTTGTGATTGTCCGTAGGTGGTAGACGGTCTCTGACTATCGAACGCGGAGATACCACCCGACGAATCTCGTAGTCGGCGCCAGAATGTGTGCATGTTACATGCACACGTGTTCCCCCGCCAGAGTCCGTGTGGCGTTCCCCCTTTCCCCTGTATCCCCCTATAGCCCCACGGTACCCCATGGGTGTTTAGGCCTTAGGCGTGTGTTAGCACATATTCTTCATGTTTACTGTTATTAGCTTGGCAGCATTACAAATGTTTCAACTGTCAAGAGTGGAGGGGGGAAACGAATACTAGAGCAAATATTCACGAGTGTTAATTAGGGTGACAATGCCATGAGGAAAATGTTGAACAATGCATGAATACACATCTTAATTTGTTACAAGCATGAAATTAATCTGTGATTGTTGAATGTTGATCAAGTTCGATAGTTACCGAGCTATCGATCTCACGATGTACGAAAAGTGACATATCGCTACTCGGAGCGGCTTGATGGGAAAATGCTTGGCGCCTTATTTGGAAAATATGGTTACAAAGAGAGTTATTTCAAGTGCCGGTACAATCAGTATGAGGTTGTTTTAATGTTATGCTGAGTTGTTTTTGAGTTTTAAGTGAATGTTATATAAATCACATTCGAAAAACAAAAAAATTACAGAGACACTTCATAAACACTGTCATTAAAAAGTAAGGTTATGGGGGTCGTCGAGTCGTGGGCTGTCACGGTGGAGTAGTGATGGGCATTATCGAAGATGTGCAGTGCTGCTGCACTGTGATCGATAATTTTATATCGATTCTACCTGAATGCCTTTCAAATGTACTGGTTTATTGTGTCATTTAGCAATTATCTATATTTTTATAGAATCTTTACTTTAAAGACGTACTGATGTATGTATGTATTTGGAAAAACAATGTCGCAAGAGAAATTCATATAATAATATTAGTTTCATTTGATCGTTTGTGTTTATCATAGATTCAAATCTATTGATAATTATGATGAATAGTGTGCATGTATCCTATTATATTAGGACACATTAACGTTATAATCTATTCTAATCGTTATTGTATCAGAAAATAGTAAAAACTTGAAATGCGTATTCGAATATCGCTATTATATGAATTCGAATACACACCCCACCTCTAGCCGGCAAAGAGATACAAGAAAGAAGGCTTTTCATTTTGCAGACTTTACCTTATTACAGACCTTACTTTTTATTGTATAATTTCTTATCTGTTTTCTACCATTTTTTCTAAAATTTTATAAAACAAAGTCAAACCAGATAAAGGTGCTTAAAACAATTTTAACCCATAAGCATCTGGGTAAATATTAAAATAAATGTTAAAAGGAAGTTAGGAGGTAACAGAAAAGTTACTTTCCTAGACTGCATGATTTATTACATGTCATTCCCGATCGAACGAGAGACATCCCATACGTTATACGTGAAGCTGGTTCAAAATCGGAAAACTGTGTCTCCGTGACAGATATAAATGAAAGCAGAAGAAAACTTTTGAGTTTCATGTCTGAAGCTCGTTCTTGCACGATGCAGTTCCAGACGGTAGTTGGATTATCTTGCCAACTTTCCGCATATCGCGACCTTTCACCTGAATTTACGAGCCGAATTGGAGCGGAACCGTGAGGTTTGAGCACGGAATCTCAATGCTCCCTTTCATAGTCCAGTCAAAGAATGTCACATCTTAGTGTATCTAGTAGAGGTTATTCTATGGTTTTGATGCTCTGTCTCCACTAATTGTTTGTTTTGTACTACGAAAAAGACTATTGAATTGTGAAAAATGCCAGTAAATCGTTTGATTTTACGTCTGGTTTCATTTGGCGGCCAGAAGAGCTTAGTGATGTTATTAAAATCACAAGAAAAAAGTGTTTTTACTTATAGTCCAGTTACTGGACAAACTTATAGTGAAACCATAGGAAATATAAAAATATCCTGAACTTTTACACAAAAATACTTGGGAATAAACAGAATAGAAAACCCTCATCCCAGTAGGAGATCTTAAGAATATTGTAGTAGGACCAACCATGCACAAAATTAACCTTATTTTCAATAATTTCTCAAAATGATTGAGTTTTTCAAATTTCATTTCATTCTCTTTTTTTGACCACCTTGTACTATTTGTTATCCAAATTCGGAATAAAGTCGACAAAAGTAGTTCTCCAACCATAAGAACCCATCTAAAAGTCATATGGCAAAATACTTGACCTGCATTTGTCATTTTTTACGGAAAATTTGAGATATCACAAAAATGGATATACTTAAGATTAAGTTTAGAATAACGTAAATGAAATTTGTTTACAATCTGGCGTAGATTTAAAAAAATAAATAATATACTGAGTGTTCTATTTAGGATAAACAAATAAGTTCGTGTGTTCTTTAGTAGAAAAATATAAATTTTTATTGAGAAACAATAAAACACTATTTATTCGTCGAAGTAATTACCATCACATTCAATGACCTTTTGCCAACGGGGAACCAATTTTTGTATGCCGGTATTGTAGAACTCCCTGGATTTGGAGTAAAAAAATTGGCGGACTGCATTTATTACACCATCTCGAGTTGTTGTCGGTGCCTCATACAGTTGTCAAGAGACAAAAAAAAAGGTGATAATCAGTGGGCGAAATATCGGGAGAATATGGTGGCTGCGGTAACGTTTCCTAGCCGAGTTCAGAAATTTTTTCTCAGGTCACTTTTACGGTATGAGGCTTGGCGTTATCCTGCAAGAATATCACTTTCTTCCGATTGATCAAAGAAGGCTTTTTTTGGATGAGTGCTACTTGTACTCGTTGAAGCTGTTCACAATACAAGTTAGCAGTGATGGTTTGACCCCTTTCCAAAAATTCATAATGGACAATTCCAGTTGCTGTCCACCAAACACACAACAAAACCTTGTTTGGGTGCAAGGAAGCCTTGGGCGTGTGTGGTACCGAATCAGTAGGCGACAACCAATGATACCAACGCTTAGAATTGGAATACAACATCCATTTTTCGTCGCAGGTTAATAACCGATTAAGAAATGGTTCATTAGCGTTGCGTGAAATGTTTGCTGAACAAATGGTAAGACGACTTAATTTGTTATCATTTGTCAGTTCATGTGGGACCCATTTGCTTAACTTCCACGTCTTTCCTAGCTGATGAAGATGCAAACGAATAGTTTCAGGACTCACTCTGAACACTTCTGCAAGTTCTTGGCACGTTGTCCTGTAATTTGCGTCCACAACCTGTCGAAGATCCTCGTTGTTCATGATTTTTGGTCTCCCTGAGCGGGGTTCATCGCTCAAACTGAGATCTCCCGAAGAAAATTTTTTGAACTACTTCTGTGCTGTTCGATCACTAACGGCATCATCTCCGAATGCGGTACATATATAACATGCCATGTGAGCTCCCACTTTCAGGTCTTGGTGGATCCTGTTCAGCACTGACTTATTGTTTTCTATCTTAACAGTTTTTCCTTTTTATTTCAGGCCTAACGAGATCTCAGGCGGTGGTTGCGGTCCGAATGGCTGCACCGGCGGAGTTGCAACTCCCGGTTCCGGCACTAACAGCTCTGGAAAACTCCGGTGCCCAGCGCCCATCTCCAGGCTACGCGTTGAAAAAATCGAAGGAGGCCTTATGGTTGCCGGAGTGGTCGTAGCGGCCAACTGCCAGATCATTTTGCCCATATTTGGTTTCCTATTCACCTTGGTCGGATGTGTTCTCACAGGTAAGATTAAGTGTCCTGCAAACCACACTTAAGTTATCCTTAAACCACGCTTAAACGTCCCTTAAACTATTCTCAACTGTCGTTTGAACTATACCCGTTAAAGGTTCCCGGAAATGTCTCTTACAGTAAAAGTAATACCAACTACTAGATAGGGTAAATGGGATAGTGTTCCTTAAACCACACTCAAGCGTACCGTTAAACGACACTTTAACGTCTCTCAAGCTATACTTAACTGTGCTTGAACTATACTTAAGCGTCCGTTGAAGTTCACCTAAATGTATCTTAAACTGTCCCTTAATCCGGAATTAAGTGACTCAAGCATTACTCAGGTGTTCCTAAAACTACAATAACTGTCCATCAAGATACAACTAAGTGCATTTGGAACCACACTTAAGTGTCTCTTAAACTATATTCGCGTCCTTTGAGCTCCAATTAAATGTATATTAAGCTACGCTTCAATATAAACGGGATAAATAGGGAATGCGGTTAAGTGATGCTGTCTCTTGAATACACTTAAATATCCATCACATCATTAACAAGTGACCCTCAAACCGCACCGAATACCTTAAATTATACTTAGGTGTCTCTCTCAAAGTACACTTATGTATTCGTTTGTTAATTTTTTAAGAAATGCTAGATAATCCTGCCCACATTGGTAGGATGTGTACGTAAGGTAGATCGGCAAGTTAAGTGACCGTTGAACTGTACTTGTGTGATCCCAAATATATTCCCAAATGTTCCTTAAACTACACTTAGAGCCCCTTAAATGTTGCTGAAAGTCCGCTTAAGTGAAGATTTGGCAGATTGGTTAAATAAGCCATAGATTGGGCGTAACGAAGATAGTTTCAACTTTAGTATAGAGTGATACTAAAGGATTCCTTAGACTACACACATTGGTAGAGCTCAACCTTAAATGGTGGCAATCAGTACGATCCTAAGAAATTGCAACAAATAATACTTGCTTTTTCGCTTGTTCTCAATTGCAAAACGTGTCCTTGAGATACTTTCATTTCCAACCCTACAGTCTGGTCGTGTATAAAATCGGGACCTAATTTCCGGTTGTTTGACGACGTTCAACGTTTTCGCAAAATTCTTTTTCTGTGTGTCACCCACAAAGGAATTTTGCCGTACCACCCTCAGACGTCACCAAGTTTCAATCATAAGCCTGTCGCACGAAGTATGAAATCCTTCCAGTTATGCCAAAATTATAATTACTTCTATACACTATTCGCCAACAGTATGAAAATGTTGACTCCGATACTATATGTGGCATATTCAAAGCTCATAATTTCAATTTTCTCAAATCAGTAATATAGTTTTTCACTGATACTTTTCTGCTTTACGATCTTGTCAATGTGCAACGATTTTCATAGTATCTGTTCAGAATTTCGTGGGAAGTACAGAGTCAATTGACTTGACGCCACTAGGCGAGAAGTATTGTAACCTCGAAAAATTTTGAAAATGAGTTATGGTTTTTGGATGTTGGGTATGACATGCACATTACGAAAGACCATGTAGCTCATTTCCGTCGGTCTGTCTGTCTGTCTCTCCGCTAATCCTTGGGCTGCCTAAAACTTGGGAAGTACTGCTCGGATTTGGATGAAATTTTCACACACAAGGTCACTACTATGCCAAGGATGAATCAGCATTGTAGTTTTTGAAAATCGGCCCAGTGGTGGCGGAGCTAGAGGCAAAAACATGAAAATTTTGTTTTTTTACTTTTAAATCTCCTAATCATTTTCATAAAAAAAATCGTAGGAGTTGAAGTTCGGCATGGGTATTATGTAAAAACCTATAAAACGTCAAAAAAAAACCTAAAAGATGTCATCTTGCAAACTAGGTAGTTTTTGGGGCGCAAACAGTCATTCCACGTTTGCTCGCTAGGATCGTTGTGAACGTCCATCTAAGGAGGAATCACTCAACTAAACTACACGCATTATTGGTTGCATATGTTTTGTGAGGCCAAATGGTCCTTGTCTGTAGTTTTTATTTCTGAGAAGAAAGTTGGTTGAATAGAAAGATCGCATCTGGATGATTGTGTATTGGTCTGCATGTGTATAAAATCAGTGATATTTGCTGTGTGAGAACATCATTAGTGAATATGCTGCCAATGAAGTATATCTATTGGCTGTGCCCGACGGGTTATTTTTATGTTGTGCTTTCTGATGAGAGGTTATGTTCAAAGTTATAAATTACGAGAAACTGAGAATTGCGGGAAATCATCACCGCGCCTGCGCTGTGTGTAATTACTGTTAGCATGTATATGGCTTGTAATTCGACAGTGTACAGTGAATATAATTATTTCTTATCTCTCTCATTTTTGAAATTCAGCAAGTTTGTATATGTAATTTCCAGAATAGATAAGAAAAAGTAGATGGGCAACTAATTTCCAGCTTTGCATCTCAAGTAAGAGTATTTGAGACAAGGATCCAACGGAATTATCATAAACACATACAACTTGAACTTACAGCTTAGACCTCCAGTAATGCCATCTCAGAAGCAGATTTTACATCACATCAGAGCCAAAGATTGATAACAAGCCTCATGACGTTTAGGCAACACGTACAACTAAGTTCTAAGTTAATATTTTTTAGAAAAACCTACATGTCAAAAAAACAGCATAATGTCAAAAAAAATCGGCTTAATGTCACCTTTCAAGATACGTGATACCCGTGCCGAGGTTGGGAGTTGTAGGGATGGGGAGGATATATCTCAGTATTTTGATGTTAGTATCTTTATACGCTCCCAACGTTTGTTCTATGTCTGACCGGGATAGGTATCGAGGAGAGGCGACATTGACAGATGGACTACGGCACGGGTAGTATGTAAAAAACCTATAAAACACAAAAAAAACTCAAAATATCATCTTGCGTACTATGTAGCTTTTAGGGTGCAAACAGTCATTTCACATTTGCTCACTAGGATCGTTGTGAGAGTCCATCTGTGGTGGAATGGCTCAACTACACACATACACGCATTGTTGGTTGCATATGTTTTGTGAAGCCGAGTATTGGTCTGCATGTATATAAAATAAGTTATATTTGCTGTGTGAGAAAATCATTATGTACTGATTATGCTGCCAATGAAGTATATCTATTAGCTGTGCCCGACGGGTTATTTATATGTTGTCCTTTCTGAAGACAGGTTATGTTCAAAGTTATAATTTTTTTACGTTTTTTTGTGTTTTCAAACATTTTGAGGAGAATTACGGGTAATCACCACCGCGCCCGCGTTGTGTCTAATTACTGTTAGCATGTATGGTGTATCTGAAGTCACTTGAAATAGCATAAAAACCTTTGGTCGGCGCGTCCTTTGTAATTTCATGACGTATCATAGGCGTGCGGCATTTATTTAGAACGATAATAATAATGTTTTTATATCACAATAAATGGATTTTACTATCTTCTTATTTTTTTTGATTTGGGATAAAAAATACTTATATTGGGAGTTTAATTTATGTTGACTGAAAGTTAAGAAATGGAAAAATTACAGAATTCCAACGTTTGACATAGGCAAATATTTACATAGCAGGTAGGTATATAAAAAGGTATATAAAGACTTACATTATAGGTATTTATATATCATCCTCGCCTTCGGAGCTGTCGCTAGAGTCATCTTGTAGAGGAATTACAACGGGATTTACAGGAGGCAAAACACAATATTCATTTTCTTTTTCAATAATATGGCTAGAACACTGCTTCCATAGGTCTGTGGCAGCAATATGAGATACTGCATCTCTTATTGTGGCCAATAGCGATTCACTTAATTGAGGGGTCTGATTATGTTTTCTTACTTTTTTTTTAAAGCAGCCCAGACCAACTCAATCGGGTTAAAAATGCAGTAATAGGGAGGTAGACGTAATACTTCATGGCCATTTTGCTGAAGCAGATTGTCAACAACATACTCTTTTTCAAATTTTTATCTTTTAATAACATCCAATAATATGGCTTTGGTTGATTTTTGTGGTATTTCCATTCCCTTATCCTTCATAAAATCAATAATGTCTTGTTTTTTTGTGCCTGTATTCGGAATTTTGTTTTTCTGTCGGGAATGGTATGGCGCATTGTCCATAATAACCACTGAATTTGGGGAAATGTTTGGTATTAACTGCTGCTCTATACACTTTTCAAATAAGTCGGAGGTCATGTCCTCATGATAGTCGGCACATGATTCTTTGATATTTTTGGCAGATAACAGCAAGGCATTAGGTATAAATCCATTTTCACTGCCAGTATGGAGAATAATGATTCGTGTTCCACGGTTGCATAGTGCATTTAAAATGCACTTGTTGCTGTCGTCAACCCAGCCGTACTGCACAACATCATGGGTATCATACCACGTTTCATCCAGGTAAATCAGATTTCTTTTCTGCTCTCTATAGATTTTAACTTTGTGCAAAAACTCTTGGCGCAATTCAACGATTCGAGACAACTCCATAATCACCATTCTTTTATCTAATTTTTTGTATTGAAAACCACACAGTTTTACAATACAGTGCAGTGAGTCTAAGCATTTGTAATTATAAAAATCTTCAGGATAATCTTTTAATTTATCCCGTATCATTTCCAACGTGGGCACCAAATTTTCTTTATAAAATCCGTATATTATACGACGAATATCTTCCTGAAAACCGACGTCTATTCTTTTTAATTTTTGCCCTATGCGCTTTTTGTGGAAGGAATGGTTGACTACATCTCCCCTTTTTATAACCCGATAAATGGTAGACCGACTGATTTTTGTCAGGATACAAATTCTGTTTAAAATTTGATTTTGCGAGGAATCTGGATTTTCGTTTTTCAGACAATCATACATATTTAGGATTACTCTTTGGGTCTGTTCCTCTAAATCTTTATGAAAGAATTCTGCCTGCACAGGTTCATCAACCATCTCCTCGTGGCTTAGAGCATTTTCCCAAGGTCTCCAAAGAGCCATATTTAGGACACACAAGAACAATCAACACAACAATTAAATCAACAAGTAAACTGAGTATTCAAAAGTCA